ATGCGCACAAAATAGCATTCCATGATAAGGGAACAGCACAATCCGAGAGAAATCACAACCACCGAGGAAAAAAACACGGCTGGCATCCACCATTTTGAAAACAGAAATCGGTCAAAAATTAAATACTATACTATATTGATAATTAAATAATATAACATGTGCTCCAAGTTTTTTTTTTTTAATAGTCAAAAATAAATATAAACAAAAAAGTCTTGTTAACACAAATCTGTAGCACTCTTTTACTTTTGCTATGATCACAGAGTTCCTCTTCTGTCTTATATCCCCCCCCCCCCCCCCCCCCCCCATTTGTTTTAAAAGCCTTCAACCAGTTAACTCCTTGCCGTCTCCGCATTACATAATTTTCTTCAAATTTCTTTCTCCAAATTTTTAGGTCCCTCAAAACTAAATTTTTGAGTCCCTTGGTCATAGATGAATCAGTATTCAGTAACCAAAAATCCCCCGTGTGGGTTCCGGGGCTCCCATTGTGGGGAAAACAAGAATAGACCCACTGCCTCCCCAAAAGCATGTCGTAAGAGTCGACTAATTGGGGAGCTTCCTTTGAAGTCGGAGTGCATCTACCGAAGAAGCCAGGAACCAACAGTCTGTATTCAAGAGAATGAGATCTGTAAAACTGATGCACATGCAACACTCAGGTTCTGGAGCAGGACTGCAGTTCAGTAGTAGACGAGCAACCAGAACCTTCCGCCAGAGTTTACAGCTGGTGAACGCGAAGAAGAAGTAACCAAAAATCAAGATTACGCATTTAAAAAAAAAGTGTGCTCAACTGAGACTAATAACATCAATACCTCCCCGAAGTGACCAAAAGTTTGTTCACATTAACAGTCTTCTTCTTAAGTGAGTTCATGCTGATGACGTTTACTATAGTACAAATTAATCTGAGTTAAGCTGTTGCCATTTTATTGACTTTGTGCATATTAAGGTTTAAAAAGAAAAAAAAAGGTTAGTTGCAAGATTCACTTGGCAACATAACAAGGCAGTCCCCGCAATTTATTGTCTGTTGCATGGTTTACAGGGCAATTTGATCTTAAGAAGTTTGCCATTGCTTATTCATGTATGGGTTCTGGACCACATCTGGGGTCTGGGGGGGGGGGGATCAGACCTGTTGCCACCACAATAAGCATGTGCAAAAGGTGTTTTCTTCAAAGTCAGAGTGCATCTACCGAAGAGGCAAGGAACCAACAGTCTGCTATTCAAGAGAATGATGTGCAGGCAAAACTCAAGATCTGGAAGAAAACAAAAGTCCAGAAGTGGATAAAGAATCAGGAGTTCCCATTGGAGTTTAGAGAAGGCGAACACTATGAAGAAGCCATTGCCTTCTGAGGAGGTGATGCTCATAGTGCTGTTAGAATCAATACTGAGCAGTCTGTTGCCAAACTGCCTGCAGCTGGCTTCGTACCTTAAACAAAATTCAAAGAATCTCAGATGAAATCAGCTGCCCTTCTCATAATGGAAGTTGGCATGCAAAGAATCTTTAGCACTCTCTAACTTTGGCCCTGATAGCATGATAGCACTTCCCTCTTTATCTTTTGCCTTTCATCCACTGCTGCAGTAAAAGCCTTCAACCAACTCCACATTATTAATTTCTGTCTCTAATTCTTTCCTCAGTTTTGTGTGTGTGTGTGTGTGGCCATGTTGGTCCCAGTGCAAAAAACATTCAAGTTACATTGTTATCAAGTTTTCTCGATGTCTTCATCCAATTCTTTTTTTCATCATTCTCATTGGAATGTCTACTGGCGAACATTTCCTTTTTTTCAGTCCCTTATTTAACTTTTACTTTCCTTCTGCACATTTGTTTTTCACATTTTCCTCAAATCTGGTTTTTAAAATATGGCTGTAAGTACACAAATTATATGTCAAAATTTCGATTTCATTTTCTTCTCTTATCGATGCAGAAGAAGGATAAGGATAAATAGAAGCAAAAGAATAGGAAAATAAAAACAATAAGAAAACCTATCTATATTTCTTCAGGGGGCAGCTGTTACGGTCTACAAAAAACAAAACACATACAAATTATTAAATGACAAAATCACCAGCACTTTAAGTGTTTAAACTAGGGCTGTACCGAATATTCGCTTCGTATTCGCTTCGGGGCTGAATAGTGGACCCAATAACTATTCTGTATTCTGCCAAATAGTTGCGGTCAGGCCGAATACGAATAGTGGTTACCTCACAACCGTTTCTGGACTGGTGGAAAAAAACATCAAGACTTCCCACCTGGGTTTATACTGTGAAGCGTTATCTTTGTGCACCACCTACGAGCGTACCAAGTGCCCCTTTATTTCCATCTTGCATGTGTTGCGAGTAGTGTTGTCGGCTTTATTTCTTTGAGTGGAGTGTCCTCTTCGTTGATTCTTTGAAGTAACGGGAGTTTGTCATCATTTATGGGTGTCGTATCTGTTCTTTCGTCGTCTCGTGGAAACGGCAGCGGCTGAATGTTTTGATCGACGTTCGGTTTCTTGATTTTCTTTGTTGTTTGATCTTCTGGCGTTGGCCACCTGGCGTCTGGTTTTGTGAGCTCGCGGGGGGCTGGGCGACTTGTAAGGACGGCATTGTTTTCTTCGTCAGCGTTATTTTTGTTTTTGATGTTTCGCCTTGCAGGTTTTCATTTTGACTCTCTGTATTTGTCGTATTTTCCTGTTTAGTACAGCTGGAAATACCTCCAGTGAGACAAAAAGCTGGCCTAATGCTGACAACATGGAACGAAGGTTTTTCATGGAGGTGTGTCAGCACACGAACTAATACGTGCTGCAGGAGATCGCAGATTGTGGCGAGGCATAATCGCCCATGCCAGCCGGCAAAGCACATGATGATGATGATTCACTATTCGTATTCGTATTCGGCCGAATAGTTGGTCCAGCTATTTGTATTCGGCCGAATAGTGAAAATCACTATTCGGTACAGCCCTAGTTTAAACAAATGTCTAGGAGTCTGCACAATGGAATCTAGCTGCATTGGATATGCTTATCGAATGCCATCTTGGGGAATATTAGGTGGTCAGGTCCCTATCTCTTTCTTAGAATGACTTTTGTACTGGTGTCTGAAAGCCACATAAGAAAAGAAAAAAAACCACACACATATGGCCAAACCCTGTTGTAATATATCAACAATTTAACATGAAAAAAATTAGGCATATGAACAGGAAACAATTATTGCTTTCACAAAACTGCAATTAGATCATAAAAAAAAAAGTTGCAGATAATTGTCAACAGGTTTCTTTGATGACACTCTTTAAATATGATGGTCAAATACAATTAATGAGAGCAGAATTAGGGAACTAGCCTAGTAAGGGCAGTAAGGGATAAGCAAGTGTAGATAACAGTACAGGGGTTTCATTTCTCAGGGGAGAAAAATGCTAAAGTTTTAAAGTCAAGAGGATTGAGTCCAGTGAAGCCAGTTTTACACTTTTACACATAAAGATGTCCCCCCCCCCCCTTTCAACAGAATGGTTAGCCACCTGCTGAGTGCCATGAAAAGCCCAGACTTTGTAATGATCACCCACGGGTATCTGTCAAGTATGAATATGTGAACTGATTTGTGATGTCCATAATTTGAACACATGACCTTTAAAGTCTGAGCCTAACAGTTTAACCACTTTGCCCATGGTGAACCTCTCAGAGAAAAAAAAAGGGGGATTGGATCATAGAAAAAGGTGGAGCTTGAAAAAAAAAAAAGCTATACTGAAATGAGCAAAGTCAACAATATGAAGCTAGTTTTCAACAACTAGGTATATCATTTGTATAGTTTGAGGGTCACTAAAAGGACAAACTGATTTTATACATTCTGTTTTTGGTGTGACATGTGCAAAATGGTTTACTTTGTAAGAACTTTTCTCGGGGATACCTGAACAATGGAAAGTACTGAGCTTAGCTATGTTTTTTTCTCTAGGTCACCATGGTGAAAAGGTGTTTAACCCCCTACCCCTCCCCTCTCAATGTGCCTTCTGTACCCAGGAGGGGATGAAGCAGATTTTAATGTATGTCCCATTGTAGTGGTAAAGTGACCATTGATTACCTAGGGGTCCTCACTTTTCCCTCAAAACTGACATTATTATTATGCCTTTAGTTGCACTTGCATGGAATTATATAAGTTCACTTTATATCAATTTAAGTGGCTATTAAAAAAAAAATAAAAGGTGTTTCTCAATTCATAGAATTTCCTTTCCTGTAGAGTTCCAGGGCCCCATTTTGTGGGGGAGGGGAGGAGGGAATAGATCCACTAGTCTTTAACAAACATGTCCTAAAAGTTGAATAATCAATCAGGGCTTCGCTCAGATCGAACCTGTGGTACCCGAAGGCACATAAATCGCAGCCTTTGTGTAAACCATATCACAGCCTGCCTTCATCCCCCTCCCCCTTTAAGAGGAAGGTGAACAACTGAATTTTTCAAGTCCCACCTGCAGTTGCCTTGGCAAGGCCGAGCAAATGATTCTACAGGCCTTGTGTGGCCTGTAAACTACTCACCGTAAAAATTACCTAGTGAAATCACAAACAGTCAAAAAATGCTGGAGTTGATTCTGCCATCTCCAGTACAGGGCACACAACTAAATGTGTCTATACTGCCTGTGGGCTAGACAGTGCCCTCCCTTGAGTTAGAGTAACATATTTTGGGGATAAAATCAGTTAATGTGGCAACTTTGGGATAAGGCTGTCAGAAATAGTTAGGGTAATACACCACTGGAAATGACCAGCTAAAGAAAGAAAATCTCTTCTGTTGTAAAGTTTAAAAGCACTTTATGACATAGGGAAACCAAGACGGTGAGCTAAAACATGATTAATAAGAGCATCCTTAACTATGCACATATCGGCACAGACAACAATGCTGACCAATGAGAAGCTTATCAAAATCCAAAGATATTGTGTTAAACTCAGAGAATATGAACAGTAAAGTATTAACTGTATCTCGACGGACATAAAGTTGGAAAACACTGCATGATAGGGAAGAAAGAAAGAGAATGAGCAAGAATCTATGTGCCAGAGCCTTCATCGCCCATGCTTGACTCGATCCACAGCAATGTAATATGCCTTTTTGTCATGTACAGAGTGCCATCCTATAGGGCCGACCTCGCAATCAGCACATATCAAATATTTGATGTCATCAACCTTTGAAGAGAAACAAAAAAGGACATGAATGAAAACAATATGACTTTCTGTCAAAAAGTGTTTAAAATATATTTTTTAATTCTACAAAATGTGAAACAAAATCAATCAGCTCTATCGCTCAGAGAAGGCTAAATCTAGTCACTTCCGACTGCGTGCCACCCACCCCCATCATAATTGAAGAAATATCACCATTCCTTCAGGGACCTGTTCTTGAAAAGCACAACTAAATGTCACTGCTTCTACGTGCACCTGCATAGTGTTTAGGAAGCCTAGATGTGAATATATTAACTAAATATAGCCTTTAAAGGGGTTTCCTTGTCAATCTATTAGTTTACTTAAAAACCAAGTTGACTTAAAATGTCCCCATATATCTCAGTGACCGAGATCAAAGGGTCACGGCATGAATCACATGACACAATTCCTACAGCTTCATGACCAAATTCTTTTTTTAGCAATCCCCGGGCGAAAGGATTAAACACATCTAGCGTATGGCAAACAATACAGCAAATGACCGTTTTTACGCCAGCAGCGCATCCGGCACAGGATGCTAAACACAGGTTTGTGTAGATCAAAGGGCACTTGATAGGTGATGTTGATAACATTCCTGCTGCTTTTGCTTCCCAGAGCATTTCTGGTATCAGTGTTAGGTACTGTCAACCTGGGACCAAGGTCAATTGCCCAAATCTGCCTTGACCGGGATATGAATCCTAGACCTTTTAGGTAGGAATTTTTTTTCTGTTACACCAGCCCCTATCCGCCAGCCTGCATGTACCAAGCCTTTTGCAGAACATCGCTTTCCCCAACGCTCAACGGTGTGTTGTGTGTTGGCAGGCAGATAGACTGGATGGCTCTGCACCACTTGGTCATGAATTGATGTATGACAAGTTAGATATTGTGAGGGCCCTTTGGGAGCGAGGAAACAGTGCAGAGATGCAGATAGATCATTATGGTCTAAGAAGAATGGCGCTACTAAGAGTTACCAGGGGATCTGGCCGATGCTCGACACTCAGGGGAAGGATGAGATGAATATGCAATCAAACGGTCACCTGTTCCATCGGAATTGGAACGCTTCGCTTGCTGCTGAAGATGGGGACTGAGCATTTATAAGAGTGTCCAGAGTGCTGTGATGTCAATTCTCATTTCAACATTCCTCATGCTTTGCCTGCGAGAAACTTGGTATCTCACCAGATCACCTGCCTCATGCACTTTCCTACCCAAGGTGTCACTTATATCCTGTGCCTTTCTTCATGTTAGTTGGCCCCTGCCCCTTCCTACCTGGTATCATGTCTTCTACTACTATTCTTTCCAATCCGCCTTGGAGCTTGATATGGCCAAAATATAGCATGCAGGACAAGACGTTTACCAGCCGATCTTCCTCAATGTCCAGATTCATTAGGATGCCCCCCACCCAGAGAGAGAAAGAGAGAGAGAGAGAGACAGACAGAGAGACAGACAGAGACAGACAGAGAGAGACAGAGATTACGCTGAATGGCACCTTTTCAGACAACAATGTGTTAAGGGAAGGTACAGGATAAACAGCCCATGGATTGTCGACATGACTAGCAAGACCCACGTGCATGTTACACAGAAAAATGCCTGGGTGGTTTTAGAGACCATGTGTTCATATATTACACATACATCAATCAATCAATCAGCTGCTATTTACACTTTGAATCTGCAAACAGATCTCCACAACTTTTCATCTCTATCCTGGTTACACACTCTGAGAGAGACTACTTATCAACCATCTTCTGATGTTATTTTCCCATTTAAATCGCTGTTTGTCTCTTGCTCGCCTTCCTATAACTTTTCTCTTCAGTGTGGTTTTTACAAGAGTGCCATGTTAACTAATGTGGTTGAAATATCTTACTGGGACAGAGGAGGAAGAAAGAGAAGAAAAAAAGGACGAAAAAAGAAAAAGCGGATGAAGTAGCAGCACAGGATAATGAGGAAAAGGAGGAGGAAGAAGAAAACAAAAGAAGAAACAACAGAAGAAGACAAAAAAGAAGAGGAAGACAAGAAACCAAGAGACAGACTCAAGATGACTACCAACATCCCCATGAACTTAGAAACTCTACAGATGTTGAACGTAAGCAATACTTACTGTTTTTGAAAAGCCAACATTGTCAAACGTCAGCATGTCTGATACACGCCAGTAGTCTATTAAAGTTACTCCTTCCACAGGAGCGCGTTCTGATTTTTGGTACATGTTCGGTAGGAAAAACTGCAAAAGATGGAACAAAGTGGCTCAATTATCATTACAAATGATAACAGTGGATAAAAGATGTACCATGTTTCTCTAAAAATAAGACATATCATAAACCATACTCAAGTCTCAACAGTTTAGTAGCTCTTTCACGCAACAGACGTTTTAACTGAGGGTTGTCATTTAGTAGTAAATTTGAGTTGTGATAAATGTTTTCATCCATGCATTGACGGTTGGCTGACGCGAGCTAGAGGATTTCTGGGCAAAATATCTCCACGGGCCACCATCTTCAAGATCCTCTGCTAGCTCAGTTTATGCTCATTTAAGCCATTAACTGTGGCCCGTGAGGATATGTCTTGCAAAAGGATTCGTAAAACCAGCAGAGAGCAAGCTGGCACCTGTGGTGAGGTACAGAGTAACGCCTTACACACCACCATGGACTTAACGTTCCCTCATGCCTTGTGATCACAATTATCGCAACACACTGTTTCATTTTAAAATAAGAATTTGTCAGTCCCAAAATGTTAAAACTTGAGCATGAAACATAGAAATGAACATGGAAGCTGTCAGATGTGCCTACACTAACCGCCCTACACTAGAACTGCAACTTGGCACAAACAGCCAATCACGAAAGCCACCATTGCACTGGCAAAAGTACTCTCTCTTTTAAATATAATTAGCCATCACCATTTCAGTGCATTCACATTCGTGAGTGCAACAGAAAAGAAAAACATTCCACATGAAATCCACAAGCTCACAGTGTCACACCAAGCACTCAACTCAGTAGCTTGATGATGGAACCTTTGTACTCCTGGTCTAGAAATGGGAAATTTGCATCAGCAAAACCTAGCTGGAAGCAAATAACATTTCAAAGTGTCAATGGTCAACCTGGCAAGTCTAGCCAGAAGTCTTCATAGCATGATATTTTAAAATTCACATAATATAAGCCCCAGGACAAGAAGAGGGTAGGAACCAACAATCTGCATAGAAATAAGCCACATCTGTAAAATGATTGTGCATGCAGAACTCAAGTTCTGAAACGAGACCAAACTTCAGAAGTGGACGGACAACCAGAACTTTCCTGGAACAAAGCCAAAGTCAAGAAATGGATGAACAACCAGCTGGGGCTTACAGCTGGTGAATGCACACAAAAACAGTCCCTCCCCATGACCTGATTCAGACTTGATTAGGCCCTAAGCTATTTAAAGCCCTGAGACCCCTACCATTTAAAATATCAGCAGCTAAACTCGGAATCTGTAAAATATACACACCTTTTAAATATATGGATAATGGAAATACACTGTTTTAATTAACAAAAATAAATAATAATGAATAATGAATGTGTTTGCAAAATCAAAGAAATTATATAATCCCCTAAAAGTCTATGAAATGAAAGCTGCAATTTAAATATATCAGATGAAATTTACATTTGTGGGAAAATGAAGTGACAAATATGGAAATTGTTGGAAAATAAAGAGACAAAAATGGAATTTGCTGAGGCCCCAGCAGACTGTGACGCCCTAAGCTGTAAATTAAAATCTGGCTCTCCTTTCAATACCGGACGCGGGCTGGACGGTAGATTCACGAATCAAAGAAGACAGTGAGGTCGACATCAGGGCTGCCAATGCTTGGTTGTGTCCCCCAGATCTGGGGGTTTTTTTTTACGCTGCGGGGAAATCTGGGGGGTTTTTTTTTTTTTTTTTGTTTTTGTTTTTGCCGATCTGTATGCTTTAAAGACCGATAAATTTGCGTGGTTAGGGGTAGGGTTAGGGCTAGGATTAGGGGTAGGGTTAGGGGTAACGTTAGGGCTACGGTTAGGGTTAAGATTAAGGGTAGGGTTAGGGGTAGGGTTAGGGTTAGGTTTAGCGTTAGATGTGACAAGTTTGACGCAGGAGTTTGCTATAATCGAGCACAGTCACACACACCCAAACAGTTGACGGACTGTGGATGCTAAGGACAATTCGCCACCAATCGGGCACCAGCCGCGCGCTATTGTCGTCATATTTGGCAGAATTTCAGTGGCGCCCACTCCCACAAGCATCAGATTGTCGGCCAGTATTTGGAACTCCTACGTCAAAATGTTCACATCTAACCCTCTCCCTAACCCTACCCCTAACCCAAACCCTACGCAACTCTACACGTAACCGTATGATGATAGGCAACCCTACACGCAACAGTATCATGACTACGCAACCCTTCACGCAACTGTATGATGACTACGCAACCCTACACGCAACCGTATGATGACTATGCAACACTACACACAAGTGTACGCAACCCTACACGCAACCGTATGATGATAGGTAAGTATGTCATTTGTTTCGTGACTTGTCCGCTCACTGTTTGCAGTGCGGCCAAGGGAGAGAACTCCCACTAAACCGGACTAAGCCGTCCAGCCCGCGTCCGGTATTGAAAGGAGAGCCTTAGCCTAAATTCTAAATATATAACAGTACTGCTATGACCAGAAGTTTAACTATTGACAGCAAAAGCTGAAGTTGACGACATCGTGAATACAAACCTCTTTCTTGACTAACGTAGCCTGGTGTGGAGACAGTACAAGACTGGGACATCTTTGGCAGTAAATACTTGTCTTATTCTTGCCATCACCGTCAGAAATTCCTCCAAGCTTCGTTGACGCCGTCTGCTGATTATCGGGATCCGGCGACTTTAGATCTGTTCTCTCAGACTCCGCCATTTATTAAATGATAATATATTCCAAGTATATTTACAAAGTTACAAGTTCAACTGCATTAAATGAATTAGTTAGTAAAATTTAAGCGTGTACGATCACCGAAAGTGCAAAGGCACGGAAAATTGGAGTCGTTTCATGATAACGCCATATTAATTACCAAATTTATTTTTTCAAGAGAAATGCCGAAACAATCCTTCAAAATAAATAATATGCAAAGTATTATTTCTGTTTTTATTAAAATGTAATTATTCATAACAACAATTAGAAATAAACTTAGTTAAATATTTTTATTGTATTTTTTAAGCAAATGTAATAAATAGGGTGCTATTAAAAATCAATGTGAATATTGTTTTGTTGTGTTACTTTTTAGTTTACCAACAAGGGTAAAGAGTTCAATCTAGCAGGTTCTTGCAGAACTTCTATCTCATTAATTAATAAAGAGACAATGCTTTGACCAACACTCACAGAAAGAAGTCTCATTAATCAGGTTTCGTCTCCGTTATAATTAATATTCGGCTAAAATGCAGCACAAAATGTCCTCTGTTTTTGTTGTACACTCTCTCAATTTGCTGTTCCTCCATCCATCGGCGTTATCTTTCCATGTGTGTCAGTATCTCATCATCATCATGTAGCAGGTCGTTTGCAGAACGTCGCTCTCATCGTCTGCCTGAAAGAAACTCGGTCTCTCGCCAGTTCTCCCACGTCATGTACTTTCATACTCAAGGAGTCACTTATATCCTGTGCCCATCTTCGTGTCCGTCGGCCCCTGCCCCTCCAAAATATTACAGCTTTCGAGACAGGGTGCTGTTTATTAGCCAATCTTCCTTGATGATTGTTGATATCTACATATTGCTAATCTGTCTTCAACGTTTCCCATCCAGTAAAGTTCAGAAAGATTGTTGGTGAGACTTTTCTCTTGTGCCTAGGGCGGTGCATAGAGCAGAGGTCATAGCTTTCCATGACAGGCGGATCGCTGTGACCTGCTTCAGGTGAGTGTTTGTTAAGCCCATGGCTGAACCTTTCCTGCTGATGGTCCTACGCACTCTCTTAGTCTTGCCCGTGTTCTGTTCCCTTTCCGGTGTTCAAATAAGGGCTTGATGGGGGAGTCTTGTCTTTACTATTCTGAGTGCATGCCAGATGTTTTTCCAGCGGCGCTTTTTAAAACTAAATTGGATACATTATCTTGCTTGGTCGCTTGTCTTTTTTTTTTTTGCGAATTGGATGTGAAATCTGTCCAGTGGAGAATTAGTGTTTTTGTAAGACTTTTGTTCTCAAAACTGTCTATTTTTTTTTTTTTTTTTTTTTTTTTTTTTTTTAAACATATAGAGCTACCGTTGCTTTCCAACCCTCGAATCCAAAACTTAGCACTGGAATCACACAAGAGTTAAAGATCTTAAGTTTTGTGTTTGCTGAATGTCTTTGACTTCCAAATGTTTGACAGTTTGTTAAAGGCACTAGATGCCAATGCGATTCTAGATTATATTTCTGGTGCTGAGTCCCCTATAGATGTCCCCTGTGGATGCGAGACGTGCTGTCCAAATATACTACAGGTAGACAGTAAGAAGAACTGATAGTCGAACGGACAGACAGCCAAACAGCGGATAATCAGACTATAGATCATTTATACGTAAATACAAAGAAGCAGACCGAAAGGTAGACAAGCAGACAGATAGATAGGCATTCACATATACACAAATAGACAATATTTTCTAATATAAACAGATAGACCAAAAGACAATCAAACAACAGAAAGGACAAATATAGATATCATTCCACTAATAATCAAACAAACAACAATAGACAATACTATCATACAAAAATTATACAGCACAAACAAACTAAATTACCTACACTAACATGCATAGTCACGAAACAATTTACACACCACATTACTAGCTGTAATGTTTCTAGGGCACACACCGAGAGTGTTTTTGTTGATTTCATTTGTGTGCCAGTTCTTGACAGCAGAAACTCCGCCTCATCAGACAGTAAGTATCACATTCTTGCAGCTTTCCTATTGCTATTGTTGTTTGTTTGCGTTCACCGACTGTGAACCCCGGCGAAAAGACCTGGTTGTTCGTCCATTTCTGGACTTTGACTTTGTTCCAGGACCTGAGTTTTGCGCGTGTATCCGTTTTACAGATCTTGCTTATTTGTATACAGACCGTTGGTTCCTTGCCTCTCAGACAGATACACTCCGACTTTGAAGGAATCTTGCCAATTAGTCGACTCTTTCGACATGCTAGTTGCCGAGGCAGTTGTTCTGTTTTTGTTCTCCCCACAATGGGACACCGGAACCCACACGAGGATTTGTTGTTGATGTTGCTTTTTCATGTTGGCAAATTGTCTGCCAAAACCTGTTAATTTACTATGTTTTACTCCAAAGCTTTGATTGAGCAAAAAAGTCCCCAGAACATGCCTTGTAAGTCTGTCCTCTCCCCCGGAGGATCTGTGAAGCAACATGTGACCACATCCAGTACACTGGACAACTAAGTTTTGAGGAGTTAAAACACACCGATGGCCTAGTCACGGAGTTTTGACCTATTTTATAGATCTAGCTAACCCACCAACTAGCTCGAATCCTCTCGATGACCATCACCTGTTTTGGTCCACGGCCGCTTAGCTTATTCAATATATTAGCGGCTAACCTTCTACATCTAGAGACCGTTCCACCATCGTTGCGTGTAAGTTTATGAAATTTGGCATGCAACCTGCGAATAGTCATGTCTTTGCGGGAAATTATAAAAAAAAAATTAAGCAAACATCTAGTTTTCATTTAAATAAAAAAATAAAAAAAAATAAAAAAGACACTGGAGACACTGGTTCAAAGCAGACAACCAGCATGCTTACAGTTCATTGAGTCACAGGAACTTTTTAAAACATTCCATTGCGTTTTATTCTCAGGCTGTCATCTGCAGCTTTTGCCTTCCGTGAGTTACTAGCACACAATTTTTAATGTTATGCGGGATATGCTATCAAAATAATCACCACGCATGGTTGCACATGCGAACTGATTTTTAAACCATCTCCAGGTATATATCAATTACTGTATATTCTGTTTTTAAGGGGGTACACAACTTATCAGTCAAACTAATACCAAAGGCTTTTGCCGCTTTAAGAAAAGAGCAACACCTGTGCAATTGTGAATTACACAATTATAAGAACATGTGAAATCTAAGACCACGTGCAAAAGTTCGTGTTGATCCGAACATGAGTTTTCGAGATATTTATTGAAGTGTAAAGGTACGAATTTTGAAAGGTACTAGAAAGTTCTTGACAGCAGCACAGTCCGACATGTTGTAATTGTAACAGACTCATAGAGCTTGATTCGAACAACTAAAACCGGTGTCCCGTGCGTATTGTGACTTGTATGAATTGATAAGACTCAGATTAGGAACATAACATTGATTTTTCGGTCTAGGGAATGTAGTGGGTTTACGGTGTTATGAGCCCGCTGTTAGATCTCTTGAGTCCTAAACAACGCATGACATGTGAATCACTCTATTTGCTGAATACCCTTCCTAGTCTAATCTGTTCTTCTACTTTTTTGTTTTGTATTTGGTCAGAACACACTTAAGAAATCTGTTTTACCCAGTGGTCGTCACTACTACTGTTATATTACTGTTTTGAAAATAATGTGCACTGGTTAATTTTACTGGCATCTCCTACAAAACATTCTGGTACTAAAAGAGATTGATTAGCTGCTACCGCCCCTCTGGGTATTGAGCTACTTTATTATAAGCGAACACGGTGGAGACTCACCTGGATCAAATAGATAAGATAAGATAAGGCAATAAAAGATCAGACAACGAATCCGTAAATCCAATGTGTGTGTGTGTGTGTGTGTGTGTGTGGGGGGGGGGGGGGTGAATAAGCGAGGAACCAACAGTCTGCATAGAATAAATGAGATCTCTAAATCTATGGGGGCGTGGACCAAAGTAAACCTCCTAGCTTGCACAGTCCGTGGCAACAGCACACATGCAACCCGAAGTCTTCCGGTCTTCACCTACATAAAAAAAAATGTTTCTGGAGATGCCGGGGATCGAACCCGGGGCCTTTCACATGCAAAGCGAACGCTCTACCACTGAGCTACATCCCCAGACAGCTAACGATGTTTTGTAAAGTTGTTATAGCGGCGGTACAGGCAGTAAGTTCGTTGACGGATTATTTTTCATTTTCTTTCTTTCTTTCTTTCTTTCTTTCTTTCTTTCTTTCTTTCTTTCTTTCTTTCTTTCTTTCTTTCTTTCTTTCTTTCTTTCTTTCTTTCTTTCTTTCTTTCTTTCTTTCTTTCTTTCTTTCTTTCTTTCTTTCTTTCTTTCTTTCTTTCTTTCTTTCTTTCTTTCTTTCTTTCTTTCTTTCTTTCTTTCTTTTCTTTCTTTCTTTCTTTCTTTCTTTTCTTTCTTTCTTTCTTCTTTCTTTTCGTCTTTCAGTCTTGCTTTTCTTTGTTTCTTTGTTTCTTTGTTTCTTTGTTTCTTTGTTTCTTTGTTTCTTTGTTTCTTTGTTTCTTTGTTTGTTTCTTTCTTTCTTTCTTTCTTTCTTTCTTTCTTTCTTTCTTTCTTTCTTTCTTTCTTTCTTTCTTTCTTTCTTTCTTTCTTTCTTTCTTTCTTTCTTTCTTTCTTTCTTTCTTCTTTTCTTTTCGTCTTTCTTTCTTTCTTTCTTTCTTTCTTTCTTTCTTTCTTTCTTTCTTTCTTTCTTTCTTTCTTTCTTTCTTTCTTTCTTTCTTTCTTTCTTTCTTTCTTCTATTCTTTTCGCCTTTCAGTCTTGCATTTCTTTCTTTCTTTCTTTATGTCTGTCTTTCTTTCTGTCATTCTTTCTTTCTTTCTTTCTTTCTTTCTTTCTTTCTTTCTTTCTTTCTTTCTTTCTTTCTTTCTTTCTTTCTTTCTTTCTTTCTTTCTTTCTTTCTTTCTTTCTTTCTTTCTTTCTTTCTTTCCTTCTTTCTTTCTTTCTTTCTTTCCGTCCGTCCGTCCGTCCGTCCGTCCGTTTTTCTTTCTTTGTTTCCAACGGTCTTTCTTTCTTTCTTTTCTTTTTCAAATGTAAAAATTAGAGTTATAGACGTTTTGCTGCCTGGTGGAAGAAGGGGGTTGCAGAGGGGTGGGAATAAACATCCTAACATCTACAATCTGTGGCGACAGCACTAGCCATGCGGCCCTTAATGTTCTCGGTCAAGACCCCTCTGCCTACATCTACCTAAAATGCAATAAATAATCCAGGGGATAGTAGTAACAATAAAATAAAAAAATCTGGAGATGCCGGGGATCGAACCCGGGGCCTTTCACATGCAAAGCGAACGCTCTACCACTGAGCTACATCCCCAGATAAGATACGATTGTATCATGATGATCTTATAACCTCGGTAGTGACAGTTTGAATTCCCCCCCCCCCCCTTTTTTTTTCAAGAGGAAATCATGATCAGTGTCATTTCTTTAATTTATGCGGACTTAACCGGGTGGGAATTTAGGCGCCGACACAATGAAACAAGTGAAGACAAGAGGGAAGCGGTTTCTCAAGATGGGGTCAGGGAGTACCTGGTACGGAAAATTCCTATCAAACCCCCCCCCACCTCCCAACACTCACACGCAGCGTGTTTTTTATTTTTTTTTTTTGTATGTGACTGTCACACTTTATTTTACCATTCGGTCACCCTCCCCTTCCTTACTGTATGGATAACGTTAATAAAACTTACATTAGTATTGGAGCTCTGTGCTGGCTGCTGAAGATGGGGACGGAGCGCATATGGGAATGCCCCAAGTGCTGTGATATCTTTCTCAGCTCAACAGCTCAGTTGAACATAAAGGACAATGGTTTATGAAGACACGCGTCTAAAAAGAATTCAACCGGAAATTAGGGATACAGCAAGCTCTGGAGTTAACCCTGAAAACAATGCCTAGAAAAGCCTACGTTCTTACTGACTCGCTGGCCGCGGTTCAAGCATTAAGCAGCCTCTGCAAAAATAGCAGACCCGACATTAAAGAGGGTATCCTGGCCATAGCAACAAAACTTAAACAAAAGGGGTGCCAACTCACAATCGGCTGGATACCAGCCCACAAGGGAATAATCGGAAACGAAAAGGCCGACATGGCAGCCAAAAAGGGCATCAACTGCGACCGCACCCAAGACATAGGTGTGGGCAAATCAGAAGGCCGTGCAGTCACAAGACAGTTTATTACAGGGGCCTGGAACACACAATGGCAACAAGGTGTGCAGGGCAGACTCGCCTTCCAACTGCTAAGAAAACCCAGACTCGCCTCCCAGATTAAAGACCCTACGAAAATACCCGTCTTTAACAAATTATGGAACCTCAGACTTGGCAACTGGACGGAAACGTACAAAGCGCCGAGGTGTTCCGAATGCAATAAAAACAACACATTTGCCCACTACCTACTGGAATGCTCCAAGTACGAAGTGCAAAGGCGCCCAATAATTAACCACCTACAGAGTAAAAACACCACCCTCTCTGTCACTGAGATCCTACATGTGAACTGCGATCCTGACACCCAGAAACTGGTGAAGCAATACCTAAGTAGGACAAATGCTGGAAAAACCACTAATCCAACCAACCCAGCAACAACAGCACAATCAGGAACAGCTCAACTACCTACCGAGAGGAAAACAGACCAGAGGACAGCGACATCCCTACACTCAAGTCCGGATGCCTAAAAAAGAGCCTCTAAAAACTACTCATCTATCTACAACTTCCGACCTCACTATAAGTCCTTTAAAAATTTTCGGATCATTATCAATTGACTGTACCTATACTCATGTCCACTACATCTTTACCATTTTTTTCACAAGAAGAAAACTTGTCTAAACAATTGAAAAAGGCTAACCCCCCCCCCCCCCCCCCCCCCCCCCCCCAAAAAAAGCCAAACGCACATGCACATGCAAGATGCGAAAACATAAAGGCACACACAAAAAAAAAAGATGTTAAATGTGGGGACCTGAAAAGGGCCGTGTTTTGGGGCGCAAGGTGGCAAGCTTGTTGGCCTCGAGATGGTGACACTGGTGGTGCCTTGGTGCACTCAGCGACGGCTAGCTGGACAACAAGATACGCAACAAGGAAATGACATAAGGATGACAGGTGGCACGAATACAGGCGTATGGACACGCCACAATGGACAAAAAAAAAACTATTGGAATTCCCAATCAATTAAACGCAGTCCCAACATAACTGCCGCTCAATTTTGGAGCTGGTTAGGGCGACAAAAACTTTTTTTTTTTTTTCAAACAAACTGGAACTGCAACTGGAAGTGTTAATAGTGCCAGCCTAAGTGTTGAATATCTCCCAGAACCTATGCACACACGTCGTTGAGTCATTCAGTGTATGAATTCTCTGACTTGTCTATTGCACTGTCCATCTGATTCAAAAGAGCCTTCACTACGCCCGCTTTATTATAAGTAGCTCACCACGCAGAGGAGCGGCAGAAGCTAATCAGCCTGCTCGCTACTCTGCACATCCGAAAATTATGGATATGGAATTGCTGAGATTAATAACTGCTTGTTAACATAATAGTATTCATCTGTTTAAAACATTTATGTTGGGCTTATGGTACCCCCTTTTAGGATTAAATCAAAATAAATATAATAGACCCCCTGACCCCAAACTAGCATGCCGTAAAAACGGTTAATTTCGGGTTTTTAAATTATCAATTTTGAGTCCATTGCTCGAGAGGCGAGGCACCAACAGTCTGCATACATAATAAATAAGCCAGATGGGTAAACCGAATGTGCACGGAAAAATCAAGTTCTGGAACAAGAACTGATTCTAGATGTAAATGAACAGCAAGTAAGAAGAAGAAGAAGAAGAAAACTTCCATTTTTGTTAGCTGGACGGATTAGCACAGGGTCTTTTCGAACACGTTGTTGATTGCTAATGTATTGTTGTCTGCGAAGCACACCCATTAATTAAATTCAATATTTCTTGTCTCAGAAGACATGGAGCAAGATCAACCTTTATCACATTCATCACTAAAGATTCTATTAAACCCAAAACCACCCGAAAGGAATCATGTGAGAAGAGACCGACGTTACACCAGCAGAAGACAGCCCGGCAGCATACCCCATTTCTCTAGAAGCCCTAGGATCTTCACAAACCAAGTTGAAGCCTCAAGCAACTCCCAAAGAAGTCTTGGAAGCAAGCTGTTGATTCTGGCACCAGCATTTGCCTTTCAGTTCTGTGTTGTCTTGACGTCTGTGTTCTCTGTTGTCAACTTGAGACTGCTGTCCGTACCTCCGGAATATGCTTCAGTACATTTGATCGTATCAGCCGCCATCAGCATCGCATTGGTTGTTGCCGTGCAGAAGTGCTCGTCGGGATGGACTGACAGTAGGAACATCTTGAGCAGATTTCTGGTCTGTTTTACGGCTTACCTCTTCTTGGGCACACTTCTTGTGTTGATTGCCAATGTTGACAAATTGTTCCAAGCGGATTTGCGTAATCTTAATGTTACCGGAAATGCGACATTTTCATTTCCTGATCAAGTAAAAGCTGGTCAAGTGAAAGTTGATGAAACGAAAGAGGATCAAGCCATTTTTCATGACGAGAATAATATAGATAGAACTGTCTTCGCGAATGTTACAGCAGATCGGCAAGACATTTTGCTGAATGCAGTGGATACGTACTCAGAGATCGGCTTAGCAAGTGTTTCCATGTTCTGTAGCAAAAGGATGAGTACCTCGTCATTGTACTCGCAGATTCTGGCATTTGTGGGTTACGTCATCATGGCGTCGGCCTTTTCGTCTGGTCATTTTTTGATGTCAGCTGTTGGCGCATATCTCTCAGAGGCGGATCACCAGGCCGGCGTAAGCTCCGTCGAGTTGGTTGTTGCCGCCTTTGGCGGTTGCTTCACTTCTTTTATAGGTTGGGTTTGTCTTGCTATTAGTGTTTCTTGTTGTTTGTTCGTGGTCTCAACAACGTCGTTAGCTGAAAAAAAAACAAAATCATTATCAGCAGCAGCACCATTATCATCACAACCACAACTATGTTTGTATATATAAGACATACAAGCCAAAGTGGGATAGAAAGCCAGTCAGTCAGACTGCAGACATACACTCATAAAAAAACAAAAAAACAAAGGCAAACAACCAGATTTACTGAATAGCCGTGTGTATTTAGATATCTTAACCCTCTATTCTGGAGGAAAAATTAACCAACACTTCCGGTTATGTCCGTAAATATCACTTGTCCACCAGACTATAGCGACATGTTTACAAGAAGCATAGTTAGTGCTATTGGCTGTTTTCACGCCTGTGCAGCGTTTTGGATGTAGGGATATGAACACATTAGATACACACAGTTTTAACGAATTTATTGACCAGTGTTTTCTCTATCTATCTTCTTTTACCCCACCAGGATATCACACCAGCGATAACATCCGATGACACAAAGTGCCACCATGTGGACGAGGATCACTCGTGGAGCGGTCCCAGAAACAGCGTTCAGCCATTAGACCATATTTATGGCCGGGTTATATTGCGGCCCCTGACAAAAGCCAGAGTAGGGCTTCAAATAACGAAACATTGCATCCAACAATGGGTTGACAACAATAATACCAGTGTTTTAGTATTTCCGAAGTGAGAGGGTAAAGGACAGTACAGAAGAATTAGCATCACAATTTAGCATCCCCGTTGGTTAGTTACTGAGACCGATAAGAAAAGCAAAGACTAGCAAAACTATTATGCAAAAGGCTAAAGATAAATTACTCATTAAGTAATTAACTGATGAATTATTTAAGCTCTCCTCTCATCTTCAAACCAAAATAAACTGAGTTATTCTGTTTCAGGTGCTTTCGATTTCCCATCCATTTCAAGCCACTCTAAGGAAAGTACATATATTCTGACTGGTCAGATCATCATTGTGTTGTCGATCGCAATGTTTCTTCTAATTGGCTGCACAACTTGTTCGGTGATCACATGGTATAGTGACGTCATCAAGGCGGCAATTCGACCCGATGAAGATTTTGAAGAAAACATTCTAATTGGATACGATAGAAGGCCTACCCGCACCGCACAGGAAATCTATGACGAATGCGCGGCTTTACTCGGACACAGAAGGTCAATATCATACATGGAAGATGTATCCCAAGAAATCTGCCAACGGAATATGAAGAAAGCGTTTCCAATTCCATATGTCATTCCGAAACTGCTGCAGACGATTTTACCCGCCAAGACAGTAGGTTTGAAATTAGCCATGCAGAAACTAGTAAGCCACCAGTTGTTAACAAAAGCACCACGGAATCAAAGTCCTGTCTGTCAGTTCTAAAGACACGAAGCCTCTTTCTGACTGCGATTTTGATGTTCTTGTTGTCCAGCAGTGTTGTATCTGTTGAATACAATTCCGCATCATATCTAGGCCATGTTTTGCACGATCAAGATGGCGCACTAGAAGATAATTTTCGGAAAGGGATTAGAAACGCCAGCGCTGGGGTCTTCATGATGTATCTAGTGTTTGCATTAGGGCAGCTCTTTTTTGAGGATGTCTCGCAGAAATTGGGTAAGTGAGGGTGGATGCTGCTAAATGACATCATCGTCTTCTTCTACGTTCACGTCGTCATTATCTTAGCAGTAATTGTGATCAAGACTGGTCATTGTCGTCGTCATTTTCATAATTGAAGTGATACCACTGTTGTCATTAGCAACATAACATCAGGGAATGGACGTATAGACGGACGGATGACAGACAGAGAGACAAACGGACGTACACATGGACGGACGCACATACCGATCGACAGGCAGACAGATAGGCAGGTAGACAGATATAAAGACATACGGATGGGCGAATAGACATATGGAGTGACAGCCCATCAGCCAGAAAGAAGGATGGACAGAAATAGATAGGCAGATATAGAGGTATACAGGGAAAACAAGAGTGGGAATAGCAAAGTTAAATCAGTATCAACATATATGTTATATGCATAAGACCCACTTTCTGTAATCAGCTGCAAAAGCGCTCTTTACTTTATTGTTTAACCGTTTGTTTCACCTCATTGGGTGCCTTCTCTTTTTTTTTCATCTACTTTCTCTCCTATTAATTGATTAGTTGCGTAACCTTTACAGGACGTTGCAGAATCAGTTACTGCAATATTTTTGGTTGTTGTGTTTTTTTCCAGGCAAATTTTACGATCAGTAGTTTGCCATTGCTCTACACGGCCAGCTCTCGGTACCACTTTCAAAACCAACTCAAGACAAATGTCTGCGGCCGGGATTCGAATCCGGCACTCCCGCATAACAAAGCGCGTTCGCTACGACTAAGCCACAGCCGCCGATTTTTTCGTATTATCCCCCTTAAAAACTCCCATTCATACCTTAAAACTAATGGCTTTCTTTTATATTTCAAAGGTTGGAAGTCTTTACTTTTGGGGGTGAGTTTAGTGTCTGCACTGACGGCCTTGGCATTTGCTGTCAGTGACAATATGGCGGTGTTCTTCACTGCCTCGTGTGTCCTTGGACTGGTAAGGCTGGCCATGACTGGACTTCCCAGGGCTGTGTCTGCTGGATCTCAGGTAAGAAAACAAAAGTAAGGTAAAGGAATTCAAAATAATATTGTCACTAATGAATTTTGATAATTCGGACACAAATAAGGATGTGTACAGTTTATTACCTTTCTTGATGACTATTTCAAAGTTATTACGAGCTCTCATTGTTTACACAAATGGGGATTTGTGTGTGTTTATTATTAAGGCTTCAGCAGGTTTCAGCAACTGCCGGTTACGTGTGTAGTAAACAGCACAAAAGACAATTATGTATCAAGACAATGACACCCCATCAAGGAATTAGGTTCAATCCTAATTGATGGTCTTGACACACTTCACACCGGCGACCGGGTCTCACTCACTGGCTTGCCGGTAGACGACTTCATATTTGGGTCTGTCTTTGATCTGACAGAAGTTCAACTCCACCAGAACATAACATCAAGCGATGAACAGCCGGTTACACAAAGTGCCACCATTCGGATGAGGATCACGCGGAGACAGGTCACAGAAACCGTAGGATTATATTAGGGCTCCCAGCTACAACTAGAGTGGGGCTTAAAATAAATTATTACTGCATGATTTCACAACTCTTTTGATCGCATCCACACTATATGAGTTCTGTTCAGAGTTGTTGGTCGCCTGAAATGCAAAACCATTTTGTATGATGCACATAACCTAGTCACAATTATAACCTATATATATATATATATATATATATATATATATATATATATATATATATATATATATGTGTGTGTGTGTGTGTGTGTATGTGTATATAAGACAGTCAGCAACATAATTTTTTTTTAAATTGTGAAAATTATATTTGCAGATCCACGCCAACATCCTCTGGTGTATGACGACCTTAAGCCTCAGCGTGTCTTCGGCAGTTTTGTCCCCCTTGGTTGACGACTCGGGTTTCAATGGCGCCTCAATGTATTACTCCGCCACATGCTGTCTTTTGGGCTGTGTCGTTTTGTTGGCTCCGTTTTTGAATATTGGAAAATAAATTTAAAAAAAAAAAAAAATAAGAGTTTATCATTAATCTCATACTTATTATCATCATCTTCCTGTGCTGGTTCTGGGGTCCTATTTTAGCGGGTTCGTAAAAACTGATCCACCCCCACCCCACCTTTTCCCCCAACAAACATGTCGTAAAAGTCGACTAACAGAGGTGTTTCTTGCCGTCGTAGTATATTTGCTGAGACGATACATACACACATATATGTATGCATGTTTGTATGCCCCACCTAAACCTTTCTAAAAGTCTTATTACTGCCCCCCCCTTTTCTCCCATGTGACATTGCCAAACGGTTAAGTGAGACTTAAACTCTAGACGAGTCCATTTTTGAATAGACCACCACCACAATCAAATTTCCCTCCCTGTGGAGCGTGGGTTTCTACTACTACTGTTTCTAGTACTACTACAGTTTCTGCTGCTGTTCCTGCTACTACAACCACCACCACCACCTCAACTAATACAACTACTTCTACTACTGCTGCTACGACTATTACAACAACAGCTACTAACACGACTGCTAATACTACTATTATGGCCGTTCTAAATGGAATGGCACAGTTAAGAGTGACTAATGGATCCGGTCGACAGTCTAAACTCAAAGTAAAATGCTGGCCGGGCTTATAATCAAACTTCCCCGGGCATCATCGGAATCAAAACTCTTCGATGAGTTTATCCATGCTGAAGACGAGGACGGATCGCTTATGAGAATGTCTCCAGTGCTGTAATGTCAACATTTAACATTCAGCAACTGGTCATCCATCAATTTACCATCGTCGATGAAAGCACACAGAGAAACCCCGAAGCCGCCGTTTCTACTGCCCAAGATAGGATCTGTTTACAATCAACCTATCATGGCGGAAGATTTCTGTGGCTCACACACGGTGCAAAGACCTGCCGTAGGCCCCGCAAATTTATAGAGGGACGCTCACGGGTTTTTCTCTTGCTTCCTTAACATTTGTTTGATTTGGGAACCATCTCATATCGGACATGACCGCTAAAAGGGGCCAGCGTAGGAATATGCACACTTCAAAGACGAGGAAGAATGAGCAGAATGCAGTCCGTGATTGAGGATTAGGAATTCCCAAAAGCCATGCATTTCAAATGTGATATTGCTGACTTTCTATCTCATTCATAGGTCACATCGTTATTGATTGAATTCAGAGCATTCCAAGATCGTGGAAGGGAAAACCCCAGAGTGCGGAAAACTATTAAAATATATTTTGCTACAAGTAGGCCTGCCTTTGAGCGGCCTAGTTTTTAAGGACTATTTTGAGGACAAAAAAGTGTGTCTTACAAAACGACAAATATGCTGGTTGACATACTCAACTAAAGCAGGCCAGAATAATTGTTTACTTTGAATATGTAGGA